ATGTTTTGGTCCAATTTACCGGTGATTCAGTTAAAACGATCCGAAAATATAACATCAAAGAATTTCTATTCCATTATCAGAATAATTTATATGTCAAGAAGTTATTCTAACAGAGATGTTATATATTGCTATCGAATAAGTATATTGCATGTTTTCTACGAACATGTTTAACATAATAATTAGCATTGCGAAGCACTTTGGGTTACCTGGCTGGATACATTTTACGTAGGAGACAGTTTGACAAGTCACCGATGACTTCCCGTGGTACTTGATCAGCTGCAAAAAAAGAGAGTAATTCTATGAGTATGAATACTATGCCAAATAAGAGTCATAACAATGTGTTTGTATTTATCGCATGTATTTAATGGGCAAATGAACTTTATATAAACTGAGTAATTGTCATGATCTGGGTCCCATTGCACGGAGCTAGTGTGATCATAACTCACTGAGGTTACCTTATTCAAATGATAAGTGAATGCGACTAATGGCATCTGAAATAAAATTATGTCTTACATTCTGTGCTTTTGTGCTTTGTTAATAGTTTTTCCCAACAAATAGAAAACAGAATGCATAAAAGATTGAAATATCATGTAACCCAAGTTAGGCTAAATGATAGAAACTAGAGGTGAGATTGTACAGAAATTTCATGATACGCTACGTATCAAGAGATATCTGAACAATACAATTTGATATGTTATGATACATATCACAATATGTTATTTGAAACGGTAGATAGCATATAGCCATGTAAATTTTGACACAACCCTAGATTCCAAGTGAAACTGAACAATTTTAGGGTCAACAATACGCAATATGATATGTCAAAGATATTGACATGTTTATCGTCAGAGTGAGTATCACAAGTACCGATACCATGATATAGCATAACAACTTTAATAATCATGAGTCATCAGAAAATAACAAATCCCCCCAGTCCCCACACATCTCACAGTTACAAAAAGTCCAACTAGAGTTTTTTACACTACCACCATGGAAATCATGACAAGTAAAAATGCCAAAAACCTGCAAATAACCAGGGGGATACACAGTAAGTGACAATACGAGTCTCACAGTCTGTGTCGTCTGCTAGTGTAGTGCACTCACCTGTCATTGATTGGACGCAGCTCTCCTGCCGAGCATTGATATTGCTGCCTGTCGAACATCTCTCTTAGAATAATGTTTGTGTCCAACATTCCAGAAACATTCTTGCGACAAGTAATAATTAATGAAATACTCAGTGTGAGTCTTTGAGAGCAGGTCTTGACATCTCTTGAGCTCCATGTTTATATAAGGACTGAACTCTTGTCTTACTGTTTACAGCGTTTCTGATTGGTCAATTAGAAGATAAATAGTTTGGTTTGTTCAATTTCCTGGATTCATTGGAATTCAACATAGGCAAATTTAGTTTAAAACGCTAAAATTTGCCTATGTTGAATTGAATGAATCCCGGAAGTTGAACAAACCAAACTATTTATCGATATTAATAAACCAATTTGTAGTGAGAAGCCTTTTTCCAGGGAGCTCTTTGAATGTAGCGATCGTGAGCGGTTAGCCTCTCGTGGTCAGGTTAAGCTGCAGATAATGGAAAAGTCAAAAGAAGGGTTTGAGCTCCTAATGGGGAGATAGGTTAGGACTGTTCAAATGAATTGTCAATATAATACACAAACCAAATGTATTCAGTCAAATTTAAATTTGATGAGTAACATTACAATCTCAATACTGCAATGCTTCACTGAAATTGCAATTTGATGAGCATTTTTATTCTACTATCAATTCAATTCATTTTAATATGTCATCACTACCGTGGACTGGTCCAATCAAGGATGACCACAAGCATTTGAAGTTAGGCCTACTGTCGATTAGCAAGCTGACTTTAATGGTAGAATTGTGTATGCCTGAAACATTCCCATCATCTGGACACAATTGAAGAACTTTGCAAGTGTGAAAAGGGCCAAGATGATGAAACAGTGGCAACGCGACGCGAGAATCGACGTTGGCGATCAGACCCTGCAAAATGGCGAGTACTACCTTTCTGTACACTGCTGGATTCGATTGCAGTATGATTATAAACTTCCATGACGATTCCGGCATGGGATAGCATAATGACGTTGCTGTTTCTCCCAGTGATTTGTGTATGTGTGTGGCAACAGGCATTCTTGGATATGTTTGTCATCATTTGTGACAGTGAATTTTGCCAGCGTGAAGGTGAGGTGTACTTAACAGAATGGGATATCATGACAGATTTCGATGTTGAAAAACGATACATTATTGGGATTCATGTGGAATTTGTCCTACAATTTGTGGATGAAACCGACACAAAAGGTAAGATTTCAACATTTTAATTGTTTTGATATGCTTGGGCTTGTGTCAGGGGATTTCCTAGACTGCATTAGTACCTTTTCATTATTACCGAATAGTATTTATTTTTTGCTGGTATATCATGATATTATCATTCAGTGTTAGATCAGATGTAAATCATGTTGAAAGCTGTTTTTGAGAAAAATTCTATATTTGCTTTTATGCCTTTGATAATTCTGTTTAGAAGCCATGTGACAGTCTAGCGAAAGGGAGGTAACTAACATGTAACTTCCTTTTGGTTTGTTTATAAAATGTTAAACATGCACACCTCTGAAGAAAATTGTGTTTCTCTCAGTTGCTTTCGATAATGACCCATAAATTATTTCCTCAGGCATTCTCATCAACCTTAGCAAAGCGGGACTGTGGAGGGATGCACAAGATGGAGCGGGTCAGGTTAAATTTCAAGTGGAAACGATCGAGAGTGCTGGGATTGGTGTATTTTGAAAGATCAATATCTAGAAACAAGTATCATTAACTCCCAACTTGGAATATTATACCAAATTAAATACACGAATGCTTGAAATTTGCAGAGCAGTTCATTTGTGAATAAACATCATTGAAGGATATTATTTTATGGCTCTTTAATCACTTTACTATTATCTGATCACATATGATTATGTGCCATGTGATTGTATTCACCATCATCTTTGAATAATTCTTCCAAGAATTTGTCGCTCTTGTTGTATCAAAATCCCAGAAAGAATTTGAGGTGGTAATGTTCCTCAATTAAAATTCAAGTGCAAATAGTACGGTATTAGTGCCAACGTTAATGTACTTGCGGTTATTAGGCCATCATTTTCAGGTATGTCGAACAATATTGACAAGGGTAATTAACCAATCAGATTGCTTGGAAAGCACTCACTATTGGGTTAACAATTCCATACGATCCGTCGCGCATGAAATAGGGAAGTTGCAAAACTTAACAGGTTGAGAGCTTGTCAAAGTTGATGCAACGTGGGTTTTCTCACATTGATCTTGTCCTTTTGAGCAGTGATAAAGCCAATGAATTATTTATATCATTCATTTTTTTATAAAGCCAATTTTTATTTTCATTTTTTTTATTTTATATATGAGCCTGACATTTTGGTACAAAGACAACCATACATGTCGTTGAAAAACATATGTTTAAAACTTGTCTCTCAAAAAAGGTTCTGATGCTGGATCTTGAGGTGCTCCAGGTGTTTAATGATATGGTGTGTCACTCCTTATGATCTCTGTCATCTAAATGATATATATATGGAAAGGCATAAATTTAGATAATGCAATATTATTTTGTAATTGGATTGATTAAAGATAGATCTAAATATGTTCACATGAAGACTTGTTTGAATTATTTCAATGCAATGTTTAGAAAATTATGGGTTTGATGAAAATATTGTGGCTAAATGGAATAATAATCGAATATATTCATTGCTTTTAACCAAATTTACGCAAATTTTATGGTGTATATCATCTGTACAGTGCTTGAAAGACATCTATTTGCTTTTTGTTTTGCTTTGACAGGATGATGAATTAGTCAGCCTTTAAATAATTAAATTTACTATTTTTCCTTATCCTGACTCATGCTTAATTGCTTGTCTTCCTCCTCTTGCGAACATAGTGGAACACTTGTATCTCCTTATTGAAGCTCCCTTCAATAAAAGCGTACGTAAAATCACTAATCACTACTCACCAAGAGTTATCCCTGCTTCCTGTTTTGGCGGGAAACTGGCGCCACCGTTCCCACATACTTCATACTCTCCTTCTTCGCCCAGTGAGCAGGTTGTGAGAGCCCCTGTCTCTCCTTTTATTACTTAGTTAGTTACCTCTCTTATACTATTATAGAGGTTTAGCTAGTATCCTTCAACAATATGGTTTGATATTTAATCGTATTTAGCACTGTTTATTCACGTTGTAGTCCGTGTTTGTTCAGTTGTTTACATTCATGAAAAACTGTTCCAAATGTAGATTACGATTCTCTGCTGCTGACCCTCATCAATTGTGCCCTAGCAGCACGGTACCATGTTTTTCAGCTCACGCTGCAATTATTGCAAGTATTTAACTACTTGTGCATTTAATAAATACCTTCTTTGCATCCTTAGACGTGCTGCAGATAGGTCGAAAAGGGTTGATCCAGTCATGGATAATTCAGCTGAGTCCCTCACCAGTCAACTGCTGTCTGACAACCCCCTACCGTCTGGTGTTCCGCTGGAGTTTCCCTCGGAGGAGGAGGGCGTGGGACGAAGTCCGCCATCTCCAAGAAGAGACCTGCTAGTCCAGACATCCCGTCGTCGCAGCCTAAGACTCGGAAATCGTCAACCACCCAGTACAGACTCCGCACCCCCAGGGTGTTGTCCACCACCAAGGGAAAGTCAGCGCAGACAACCCGGACTTTCTCGGCCGAGATTGTCCCCTTGACGGAACAGGGACTATATGATGATCAGCCGATCATCATCCCAGAGGTTCATCGCAAGAAAAGACCGGTCTCAGCTACGGTGACTTCAGCGCAGATCTCTACTCAACCCGAGGTATCAACGCTGACAACAGATGACCGTCCAGTGGGCCCCGTCGCTATCACCGCAGAAAGGGCAGCGCTATTACCACCGCAGACCTTCAACCCGGGCGACTTCATGCAGCAGTTCTCCCAACAAATCATGGAGATGATGGAGCAGCGTTACGGCCTGGAAAAGACAGCAGCCAGCCCAGGTCCTGAGCCTTCGTGAAGGCTCCAACGCAGACGTCATCTCTGGGGGCCCTCCATCAACGTGACATCTGCCAGCAGAACTACACTCCCAGACAAGCCTGCGCGAAGGTCGACTCAACCATCCCCTGCGGAGGACTCGGGCGATCAACATCCACTAAGGCATTCGCGAAGGACGACACAGTCTTCACCTGCTTCGGACTCTGACGATCACCCTTCGTGTTGGCGTTCCCAAAGGAGGAATCGCCCATCCCCGGACTCAGAATCGGAAGACCAGCGTTCACGAAGGCGTTGCGTAGGACTAGTCGCCAATCCCCAGATGCCGACTCAGATGATCAGCGTTCGCGAAGGCCTTCGTGAAGGACTTCAGATACAGTATCCAAGACATCTTCTGCATCACGCAGATCGTCGAGGGATTCACCAAGACATGCGGGCCACTCGCCACGCGCCACGCCGATCTCCACGCAGGTCTCCACGAAGGTCACCACAAAGTTAGCCCCACAAGTCTCCACCCAGGTCACCACAGTCCGTTAGGACTCCACCTCGTTCACCATCGGAGGAGTATCAACGTCCCTTACTCAGCACTCCTGTCACTGAGGATGATGGCGGCATCATCTTTTCGGACTCTGAAATACGCTACTGGATGACTAATGGATTGGACTTGGCTTCACCATCTAAAGACAATAATCCAGCTCACACCTATCTTATGCGAGATGATGATGTCGACACGCTCACTCTCCCTCCGTTTGATCCCATCGCAGCGGTTCCACAGAACCTGGACGCAGCCTTCAAGACAGCCACTAAAGCCCAGGTGCCGCATCTGCCACAGTTCAACGCCAAGAAGTTCTCCTCCCATAACATGGATCCTTTCCTTAAAGCTCAGGACATCGACGAGAACTTCAAGGTCATCAGTGATGCCAAGGTCAAGTCTTACAAGATTGAGGACAAGAAGCTGGCACAAGTGGAAACTATGACCAGGCGGATGTTCTTCGGCCTCAACAGATCTCGGGCAGTCAACGAAACGCTCATCGCCAAATTTCGAGACTCTACTGCGGAAGAAGATAGGATGACTTATTCAGCCTTCCTTATGCAGAAGAAAGACCAACAGTTCATGACAGACCATCTCTCATCCATCTCCACAGCGCTGACACTGGCACGTCGACAAGGTCTCCTAGCCTCCTGCAGTTGGAGTGAGCGGTTTACCAAGTCACTCTACACAGCCCCATGGTCAACTCCTTCCATCTTCGCTGGAGGTTGCCAAGGAAGTTACCAAAGACTCAAGAGAAATCCTAATGATTAAGTCCATAGACACTCTGGCCAGCGTCATCAGACAGACATCCCAGCGCTACTCGGGCAGATCCAAGTTTCCTGGAATACAGAGGGCACGGGACAAGAAAGTGGGTAGCTCCAGAGGCGTAAAAGATTCTTTTCGCCGCCCAACCGGCAACTACAGAGCAAGATCCGGATGAGGCAGGGCACCCAGAGGCTCCAAATATTATCGACGTTCGGAACGACTGGAGTCTTCCACCCCCAGCCGTTCCTGTACAGCCTTCCCAAGTGGGTGGACGTCTACAACTACACTGGGAAAACTGGGGAATACTACAAGATCCATACGTATCCAACATCCTAAGAGACGGATATCGCATACAACTACAGGCCGCTCCACTGCTTACAGTCGACCCTCACAAGTTCAACTTCAAGACACATCAGATAGAGAAGTTACGAGAGGCAGTCTCATCTCTTCTAACCAAGCGAGCCATAGAAGTCGTGGATCAAGTCAACATCACACCAGGTTTCTACTCCCCAGTTTTCCTGGTACCAAAGAAAAACTCCAAAGAAAAGTTCCGACTCATCTACAATATGAGCATGTTCAACAGAGATTATCTCAGCAGATCTCCCAAGTTCCGCATGATACATCTACCTCAACTAATTCACCTCGTCCGTCCGATGGACTACATGGCCAGCATTGATCTACAGGACGCCTACCTGCATATCCCTATTCATCCAGACTCAAGGAAGTACCTCAGATTTACACTGGATGGGCTACATTACCAATGGAAGGTCCTGCCATTTGGAATATCATCGGCCCCCTGGTTGTTTACAAGGGTGACGAAACCCATAGTCACATATCTACATCATCGAGGGCAACGCAGTGCATTCTACCTCGCCGACGGGATTCAAGTAGATCAAGATCCAGAGCATCTCAGACTACAACTGAACTTCACCATCAAACTACTTACTCAGCTAGGATGGTTAGTGAATCTACTCAAGTCGGACCTAGAACCTACACAGGACCTACAGTTTCTAGGCATCAGATTTCTCACAACGCAGAACCGTATAGCCAGAGGACCGATAGCTCAAGATTCAACAGACAATCTCACAAGCCCTACTCTCTCCGTGGCCACTACGACAATGGCAGAGTCTGTTGGGTCTCCTCACGTCCGCACAAGACATGACAGCCAGAGGCAGATTACAGCTACGCCAGTTACAGGTCCTCATCAATGCTCATTGAGGTCGAAGGTCGACCTCGAATGTCTGTGAAGGTATCTATTTAGAAGAGCCGGAGTGCAAGACGCGTCACTCCAAGGTTGGGGAGCACATCTTGACAACAATGTGGCAGCCGGGAAATGGACCCAGGAAGAGAAAAGTCTGCACATCAACATGCAGGAGATGAAAGCAGTCATCAACGCCATTCTCCATTGGAGCACCATTCTACAGAATGCGCATCTCATGGTACACACAGACAACTCTACAGTGGCGTTTTACATCAACAAGCAAGGATTAACACGATCATTGAACCTGCTGGACCTCTGCTTTCAACTGTTCGACCTAATCGACGATCTGAACATCCACGTAAGAGCATGTCACATTCCAGGAGCCAAGAATGTCATAGCAGACACACTCTCCCGTCCAACTCAACCATCTCCGATGGAATGGATGCTCCATCCAGAGATCTTCACACAGATCATCAAGGAGATAGGAGCCCCGTTGATAGACGCTTCAACAATCAATCAGCTGACAACATTCGTCTCTCCAGTCCCAGATCCACGAGCAGCGGACACTCTCAGCATATCCTTGAAGGACTAAGATCCGCGGCGTTTCCACTGCCAGCGCTACTACCGAGGGTGTTGCAGGAAATCAGCCAGACCTGGAACCTCCAACTGATTTTGGTCGCGCCCTACTGGCCAGCGAGAATGTGGTTCCCCATTCTCATACAAGAACTAGGTCCACCAATGCTGCAACTACCAGAGTGGTCGAATCTACTAGTACATCATCACACAAAGCAGGCGCACGGCAACCGAGGGGCATTCCAACTTCACGTGTGGACTGTGTCAAGGCATGTTTAAACAAGAGAGGGACTCCGCCAGAGCAGCACAGTCACACAAGCTTTACGCAAGTCTACACGCAACTTGTACGACGACAAGTGGCGCAGCTTCGAGACATACGCTGCTAGAAAAGGATTTTCAGCTAGAAAAGCAACACAACCTCAAGTGGCGGACTACCTTAGTCACCTACGGCAAACAAAGCAATTAAAAGGGTCTACACACTCAACATACCTAGCGGCATTGAGCTCAGTTATCACTATGAGGACCGGTGCCAAGCTAATGAAAGTACCAGAGTTACTGGCCTTGCTACGCTCTTATAAATTGGAGGACCAACAACAGAGATTCAAAGCTCCGCTGGGACCTCAACATCGTACTACGACATCTCACCAGTGAAGTCTACAAACCATTAGAGACGGCATCCTTCGAATTCTTGACACAGAAAACGCTGTTCCTGCTAGTCCTAGCAACAGCAGCCAGGATGTCGGAAATACATGCTCTAGACTACGAGAGAATGCGCTTTGATGAAAATCAATATGGGACTGCGGTGGGATTTCATCGCTAAGAATCAACTGCCAGGTCAACCGGACAGACAATTCCACGTCACAGCATTATCCTCCGTACTCGGACCACAAGATACGCTTGACTTATCCTTGTGCCCAGTGAGAGCATTGAAAGTTTATCTACATCGATCCAGAATGAGGAGACGCAAGTTTAAACGACTTTTCGTCCCGATATCGACTGCGACACAGACGGAAGTCTCCCGCACTACGATATCAATCTGGATAAGAACTGTCATACTACGGGCCTACAAAGCAGCAGGACTTGATCCCCCAAGAGCCTCCAACCCACACGAAATTAGAGCTCTGGCGTCAACACTCGCTCTACATGGGAATTGCTCGCTGAACACGATCATGGAGGGCTGCTTCTGGAAATCAGACATGGTGTTTGCAAACCACTACTTGTGAGATATTGCCACCGAGGACGTCTCAGGCATTCACCATTTCGGCCCACTGGTTGTTGCACAACAGTTGACAGTTCCTCACAGAAGATGAGACGAAGTCTCGTTTTTTTATCACATGACTTATCAGAGCCTACACTCAGCAGAGTTCTGCTTAAGTCTCAATGCACGCCTAAGGACTAGCATAAGTGATAAGACCCAGTACTTGTAAGAATACTCATACAGGAAGGGTCGCTTCTCCACTTGATGCTTGCGTCAAGACATGGAGTCGCAAAATCCACATTGAAATGTTAACAGAAGAAAGGACCAAAAGTTAACAATTGTGGTCCCCCCATCAAAAGACAGCTAACAGCAGCAGAGTTTAGCAGTAAATACAGTGCCATTATGAAGTTCCCATAGGGGGTATATATTGACGTAAAAAATCACTACATAAATCCTAAAGTGCTTTCCCACCACCAATCTGTCGGATTCTACAAGCAATTAAGCATGAGTCAGGATAAGGAAAAATATGTAATTTTCTTAATAAAATTGATATTTTATACTTATCCTGACTCATGATGTAAGCCCTCCCAACCTCCCCACTAGACACTTTGGATTTCCCTGCAAATTCAAGTGTCGGGCTCATAATCAGGAGAGAGTGAAGCATGTGGGAACGGTGGCGCCAGTTTCCCGCCAAAACAGGAAGCAGGGATAACTCTTGGTGAGAAGTGATTAGTGATTTTACGTACGCTTTTATTGTAGGGAGCTTCAATAAGGAGATACAAGTGTTCCACTATGTTCGCAAGACCAGGAAGACAAGCAATTAAGCATGAGTCAGGATAACTATAAAATATCAATTTTATTCAGAAAATTACATAATTGTGACATCAGTAAATTATGGATATTAATCAGCTGAATACAATTCCAATTTCAGGTAACCTGCAGACACAAATGAACATTCATAGTGGAATAAAACCATATGAATGTGTTTTATGTGGGAAGAAATTTACAGAATCAGGTAACCTGCAGGTACACATAAAGATTCATCAGTGCAAAATGTTTGAAATAACATGTACACAATCAGGTCACCTGCAGAATCACATGAGGATTCACAGTGGAATCAAGACTCATTGCTGCATTGTGTGTGAGAAAACATTTACAAAATCAAGTCACCTACAGGGACACATGAGGATTCATACAGGAATCAAGCCTTATGAATGTGTTGAATGTGGGAATAAATTTACACACTCAAGTAATCTGCAGGCACACATGAGGATTCACACAGGAGTCAAGCCTTATGAATGTGTTGAATGTGGGAAAAAATTTACTCAGTCAAGTAGTCTGCAGACACACATGAGGATTCACAGTGGAATCAAACCTCATCAGTGTATTGTGTGTGAGAAAACATTTACACAAGCAGGTGACCTTCAGATACACATGAGGATTCACACAGGAATCAAGCCCTATAAATGTGTTGAATGTGGGAAACAATTTACACGATCAGGTCAGCTGCAGACACATATCAAGATTCACAGTGGAATCAAACCTCATCAGTGTGTTGTGTGTAAGAAAACATTTACACAAGCAGGTGACCTTCAGATACACATGAGGATTCACACAGGAATCAAGCCCTATAAATGTGTTGAATGTGGGAAACAATTTACACGATCAGGTCAGCTGCAGACACATATCAAGATTCACAGTGGAATCAAACCTCATCAGTGTGTTGTGTGTAAGAAAACATTTACATGCTCAAGTAATCTGCGGGCACACATGCAGATTCACAATGGAATCAAGCCTTATGAATGTGTTGAATGTGGGAAAAAATTTACACGATCACATCATCTGCAGACACATAAGAATATTCACAGTGGTAATAAGCCCAAGAATGTGTTGAATGTGGGAAAACATTTGCACGATCCGGTTGCCTTCAGGGTCACATGAAGATTCACAGTAAAATCAAACCCTATCAGTGCATTGTGTGTGAGAAAACATTTATCCATTCGGGTACTCTACAGGCACACATGAGGGTTTACA